TGCAGTATCAATTATAAGAAGGCAAAATTTATCCTTAGGAACAGATCTCACCAAATTTGAAATGTAAAATATTATTGACAAATGTATTGTTTTCTTTTTCTTATAAAGATATTCAAGGTTGGGTTCATGTTCCATCTTTCTACACAACAAGATGACTGAAAAAAAAAAAGATCAGCTTTTAAAAATAGCAGCATTGTTATTAAAGAATTATGATATCAATTTAAAAAGAATCATGGTATCAATTTAATTCATTCTATGGGTTTTGAAAATACATATAAAGAAGTTTATCATAATAAATGTGATTCTGTATTCAATATATATAATATGCTTTTCAAAATATCTTCTTTGTTCTATAGCTAACCTTGTTGCTGCTTGGTATGTGACATGAGGAATATTATTTTGTCTCTCCCTATGAACTCCTTTCTTATACCCTTCAGTAACTCTGCACACAATGAAAATAAGTTATTTAGTAGAAGGTTGTATGCCTTCCTATTTTACAATCTCTCTCAGTCTTCTTGAAAACCTTTATTTAAATGTCTGTATTAATGATGTTTATGCGTGGGTGTCTTTTTCAATTTCAGGGCAGCTGAATGAACTTCCTGAAATGTACTGAAAGTCAAGTGTGACTGAGTTGAAGACACCAAATTGAGTTTATGAAAAGGTTTTTTACTCACCTTTGGCTTGAAAAATATAGTTTTGATGCAGGATGCTTTGTCATGAACCTTCTCTCCCTATTGATACAAGGAGAGACAAAAGTCTCTATATTCCCCTACTGAGATGAGCCAAATGTAATGTAAACATGTCACACATGCATACTTTGCATACACATACACACACAGCGGGTGCCAGAAAAATGTATACACATTGTAAGAAAGGGAAAAACTCTATTAAATTTGTAATACTCAAACTGTGTTGGACTTCTACAGTTACAGGAGGTGTTCAACGTGACTTGTATTCATCTTTTGTCATCAGTATATAGTATTACAATTTTAATACAGCTTTTCCATTCTTAAAATGCATATATGTTTTTGGTATGCTCTCTATATACTTTATAAATGCCTGATGCCAAATATACATAGGGCCATTTATGATTATTATTACTGTTGTGATAATGAAATGTGAATGCTCTCATATTTATGTGTTAAGACTGTCCAATATGTTTATAGTCATTGATGTTGAGAAAGAATTTTAAAAATCCAAGGCTGGCCTTTGAGTAAATTATTAATTGAACTTGTACAGAAATGCTTATATATGGAAGAGGAGACCAAAGCCACGTCTGTGTGCCATTTCTTTTATAAAAGTTTGCAGTGATCCATGCAAAAAAGATCCATGTTTCCCAAGATCTTTTGGAACTAATGCCCTATTGCACTTTATATTTGAGGGTAACCTAAATCATGATATATTTTTAATAGTTTTTAACAGCATAAAAGCAAAATGATAGATTTCAAAGACAGTACACAAATTTACAAAAGACAAATGAAGCTTAATTCCAAATTCATTAACATTTACTATACAGATATATAAAAGTTAGATTTGGAGGCTTCACTGGACACATGGAGAGGTTCTAAGTCCATACGAAAATTACTAGGCCAGTGAAAGATTAGACAGTCTGGGTCTTTTGAGCTTCTGTACTGCACATTATAAACTACTAATAGAGATTGTGATGCATTCCCAAGCTAAAGAAACAGAGTAATATAGTTTAATCAGTTAATAAAAAATGACTCCAAACTTCTATGATTTATTAACAAGAAGGCAGCATTACCGAGAACCATAAAATAATAGCAATTTGGAGGATGAATTTCCCTCTCACTTGTCATCTTAGTGTCATTACAGATGTTGATATTGTATTCAGAGGGTGTCATAAAGCAAAGACCACCCTCTTCAACTGTAATTAACATCAGCCAAGGGAATACCATAAAATTTCCCTTGTTTTTACTTTTAGTGACATTTTATATATTTTAAAAATATAATAAACATCACAAAATTACTGTTTTCTTCAGGAAAAATTGGTATAATTTGTCTTCCTTTTTGGGAAGGCTAAAGCACAGTTCAACAAATATGAAACTTGCAATTATGATTTTTATTCTGTGACAAATTTGCTCAGTAGATCAACACGATAGCCATGAGGCCTTTCAAAGATCAAAGTACTCTTATTGATTGATATACTTTGCATCCTTGTATGCTAACAAGAGCACCAACCAAGCAAAGGTAGATAGATCTCTCCCGAAAACATTTCAGATAAAAACAAATATGCACAGACAACACAAACATACATACATGTAGAGAACGTCAGTAGTTTTATTTTTATAAGACTCTATCTATAGAAAATCATTGACCTTAAACTGATAAAGATCTATACATTTGAGCATCAAGAACTAAAGAACTTCAAAACAACTGTCAAACCTTTGAAGACAAAGTGTATTCAATATCTCAGCTTATATCTTCTATTTGTTTTTTTAAAAAACATGAACTCAGTTCATGTTCATTTTTTTCTAGTAGTAAAATATCTTGATTTGTTACATAAACCAACTGTTGTTTTTGTAGTTGAGCATAATTATAAAAACATAAATTCATGAAACTTCCATGAAATAATATTTGAGTTAACTCAGATATTATCTAATTTTTCTATTAAGCACATCTCATGTATTAAAAAAAAAAAGTTTTGTATCTTGTTTTAATATGAAAACCACTTTTCCTTATCAGAAACTAAAGCAAATTGGGAAAAAATATGATTTGGTTTTTAAAGAATAAAATTAAAATAGTGATGGTCTTCTACTCAAGCAAGTGTTAACATTCTACATTAAATTAAACACAGTATTTAAGGCACTAACTCTAGCCTTCAAATATACTGGATGCTATGAAGTATATTTTCTTTTCAGTCCTTCATTGTAAAAGTACAAGTGAAGTAGAATTTCTTTTCAGTCCTTCATTGTAAAAGACAAATATGAGTTTGTCTTATTTATTTTTCTACATTTTTATTTATTTTTATTCATTCTTTATGAAGTATATAGAAAGAACAAAAACCAAGTGCTGAAGATTTTTAAATATGCTTTTTCACTTGCCATTAAGAACTTTTCTTACTCTATTCATCCAGGAAGCATTATTGTGCCTCATCTATATTTCACATGTTTTTAAGTTTCATTAATTTTTCTCAAATGTTTTTCAATGAGCTCTGAAGTATTCTAATGTGACTTAATATTCCTTTTCTTTTCCTGGTAATGTCTCACTTCTTTTTTTTTTTTTTTTTTTTTTTTGAGACAGAGCCTCAAGCTGTCCCCCTGGGTAGAGGGCTGTGGCATTACAGCTCACAGCAACCTCCAACTCCTGGGCTCAAGCGAGTCTCTTGCCTCCGCCTCCCAAGTAGCTGGGACCACAGGCGCCCGCCACAACGCCCGGCTATTTTTTGGTTGCAGCCGTCATTGTTGTTTGGCGGGTCCAGGCTGGGGATTCGAACCCGCCACCTTAGGTGTACGTGGCTGGCGCCTTAGCTGGTTGATAATTGCTATTTTATTTTTGGTCTTCATTGTTTCCTGTGGTGAAAACTTGAGATGTCAATAGGAACTTCATGTAGTATAGAAAATATCATATCTATTTACAACAGGATATTCATTGAAGATTAAATATGGGTAGCAAAAATGTCAACTTCTTAATAGAGGTTAATTATAAAAATTTCATTCAAAATGCTTATAGAAAAGTTCAGCAAAGAGACCCTACTTAAAAGTTTAGCAGTTATCACCAGAAAGTGATTCTGTTGAACAGTGATAAGCCAAGGTTCAGTCAGTACACCATGGGTTTCAAACTGGACCACCAATGAATAATTATCTCAGGTCATTTTTCTCATTATATATTATAATAATCTATAATGTCATCAAATAAATTCACTCCACACGTCTCACAAAAAGCTGGTCTGCCTAGACACTTTCCTAACGGGCACAGGCTACTTTTTTCCAACTGTTATTCAAGGAAAAGATCTGTTGAGAAAAGACCTACACAAAGATAGAGGAAACATCTCCTGACACTAATCATCATCATGTTTTTCAGTCATAAATATACACAAATAATAATGAGTCATAAGGTATTGGAAGAGTACCAACAGCTTCCCACTCTGGTCAAAGAGGGTACACATAGCATTGTTCTGTATTTTCACCATAACTTAAAGAGAAACTTTCACGAAGTTGGGAGCCCTTGATGTCCTACAAATGAAGTTGGAGGATGTCCTCAAATTCCTTGCAGCAGGAACTCACTGGCATCAACCTTGACTTCCAAATGGAATAATACATCTACAAAAGGAAAAGTGCTGGTGTCTATATCATAAACCTGAAGAGAAGCTTCTGTTGGGCAGCTTGTACCATTTTTGCCCTTGAAAACTCTGTTAGTGTCATGTCTTCCAGAAATACTGGCCAGGGAGCTGTGCTGAAGTTTGCTGCTGCCACTGGAGCCACTCCTATTGCTGGCTGCTTCAGTCTCGTAACCTTCACTAACCAGATCCAGGCAGCATTCCGGGAGCTGCATCTTCTGGTGGTTACTGATCCCAGGGCTGACCACCAACCTCTCACAGAGGCATGGTATGTTAACCTGCCTGCCATTGCTCTGTATAACACAGATTCTCCTCTGTGTTCTGTGGACATCACCATCCCATGCAACAACAAGGTAATGAGTTTATGATTAGAGTTTCCAAATAAGTCTCTAGAAAAAATAGGTATTCCTGTGTACCTTGTTAGAGTTTGGAGATTAGGCCACTGATGGCTGATGCACTCACTAGTGTAGGTAGTCTGCTGCATGAGAGGCAAGTTTTCCCTAATATCACAAGGGTCTCTGGCCCAATGAGTGGAGTTTTATAGTAATCCTTGATACAAGTATTTAAAAAAAAAAAAAGAGTACCAAGAACATGACAAAGAATACAAAAAATAATGTACCCCAGTAGAAACATTGGGTGAACAAAAATTTTAATCACTGTGAATGATATATCGAGGTATGATCACAGTTGACAAAGAAAAAGGATAGCCATAAAAAAGGCAACATTGTGACTTTTTATGAATATGGAATAAATGGTAGAAAAGGAAATATGGCTGACAATCAAGTTCATGATTTTAAAAATGAATGTAAGGTGTTGAAATAAAAACTGACACACAAAATTTGAGAGAAAACTCATGAAAGATCCTAAAAGTCTGAAATATATTTAACAATGTTTCCAAAAGGAAAAAGTAAAAATGATAGAGAGAGAGACCAATCAGAATCTAAGGACTATTTGTAACTTGGAGAGGTTTTAGAGTGAAAATGTGGAGAATTTGTGAGAAGGATAATAAAAACCAATACCTAGACACAACATTGTGAAATGAATCATAAGGACAAAGAAAAATTCTGAAAACTTCTATAGAGAAATAAAAGTTACCTACACAGGAGAAGGTATTCATTAAACACTTCCACTATCTAGTGTATAGCCTGCAGGAAATAGTTGAGGTGTTCTTTTTTTTTTTTGGTCAGTTTTTGGCCAGGGCTGGGTTTGAACCCACCACCTCCGGTATATAGGGCCAGCACCCTACTCCTATGATCCACAGGCACCGCCCAGGAAATAGCTGAGTTTTTACCTTCCCTCTCCATCTCCCCACCGCTAACTCTATTTGTCTTTAAGAAACAGGATGCCTGCAGAGCTCCCCCTCTTGAGTAAACCAGCTGAAACCAGTGTGACCAAAAGGGCAGCTCAATAGACCTCTAAAGAACCTTTAACTTCATTATGATCTAATTTCTACATTAAGGTGGTGTTCCGATTCTGAGTTCCACATCCATTCCCAGGAAAGACATGAATATTTTACCTTCTGCTTTTAATACCAAACCCTTTCATTTAAAGAAATCCTATATCTTAAACCCTCTCACTCTTACTGACGGAGAAGTTGGTTTTCGAGAGGTGTTCCTAACTCTTCATTCTTTGGCCAACTGAATAAAGCCTGACCTGTTTAGCATTCACTTTTGGTTTTGTATTTTGACCTGTGACACCTAACTAGAAAGAATTCCATCTCTGGGGTAAAAGCCGATGCTGCTGGTAATACTTCAATGTTATCAAATGAAGCCTTATGGTTATCAAATGCATGATAGCTGTATACTGACAAGAAAAAAATTCATGGGAAATTAGAGTAAAAGAATGTCTTTAAATATTGAGTGATAAATATCTGTAGTGTCACATACTCCACCCTGCCAAACTATCAAGAAGATGTGAGAAAATATATGGAATCAGTTTTAGAATCACCCATGCACCATGTATAATACAAAAGGCTTACAGGAAACTGGGCAGAAAATAAAAAAGAGTCCATTTAACATTAACAATGGAAATCTTTCTTGAGGTAATGAATTTTTTATGCCATTGAATTACATTTTCTTCTCTATGGATCCATTCTCATTTGACTTTATAGAACAAAATATTTAGAAAACCATATTGTAAATGCTGCCTATTAACATTTGATTATTTGGAATCAGTCTAGACATAGCACAGAACACTTAAATGTTTAAAGAACACAATGGAAATGCTAAAGCTTGGCATATGACAAAAAAGTGAGAATGAAAAAGTGGAATGAAGGAGAATTGAAAGAAAAGTAGAATGTGAATAATTTTGTTTGGAGGGAGTATCTTGTCACACAGGATGGAGTGCAGTAGCACAATCAATGCACTGCAGCCTCAAAACTCTTGGGCTCAAGCAGTCCTTCCCCACAGCTACCCAAGTAGCTATTGTAGTATTATAGGCATGAGTTATAATTTCTTATTTTTTATAGTACAGATTCATTAGGCATTGTAGTAATTTGACAAATCAGTAAATCACATACCAAATCAGTATATTATTTGAAGTTAAACAGGCAATTAAAAAATAAGTAAAATGTTAATAATAGTAGGGCAGTGCCTGTGGCTCAAAGGAGTAGGGCACTGGCCCCATATACTGGAGGTGGCGGGTTCAAACCCAGCCCCAGCCAAAAACTGCAAAAAGAAACGAAAAGTTAATAATAGTTTCCTTGGATAGTGAGACTGGCAGGGGATGGATATTGGAAAGGGGAGATATGATACTTTATTTAATCCATTATATAGCATGAATTTTTAATGAAACAGTTGAATTGATTTTATAACAAAAACTTTCATAAGAAATATGTTAAAGTAAATATTATCTCTGAAATATTACAAGAAGTTCAAAATAAAGTTTAATTTTACTTAGCTATTACAAAAGCCATGACATCAGACATACTGTAAGATTGTCAATGTGTTGAACAGTAGGTATTTGGTGAACAAAATCATTTAAAACCCAAAGGTCAAAAACACTAGTAACACTGCTAAAAGTCTAGATGTAATCATGCATTCAATAAACATTTTTGTTGTTGTTGTTGATTCACTGACTTGGACCAGGTTCAAACTTAGTAAAATCAGAAACTGATTGTTAGCCAAACAAAGTCTGAATAAGCCCAGGATGGCCAAACTTCTCCCTATCAGCTCATTCTGAGGTGCCACCTGTGATATCTGGGTTAGCTACGGTGATCAAGTAGAATGCAAGGCGCCTGACACTTCCCTACTTAGTTACCAAATGTCAGTGCAGAGGGAAAAAACCAGTCCTCATCAGGGAGTAATTTTGATAGTAGTTTCATTTGGGAAAAGCCTTCATCCTAGCTTATGAACAAATGTTCCTGTCCTCAGAGGAAGAGGCACTTTTTAAGAAAAAGAAAGATTTGAAGTCAGACAGGTTTGGTTTTAAAGCCCAACCTTACCTTGTGAACTGAGATATCTTAATTAAGGAAACTGTTCAAGTTAACACTGCTCTTGGCTTCATTGGCAAATTCAGAGAACAATAGCTATGGTTCAAGGTGATGTTTTGAATTGTAAATAAATATGCACTCATCTAGGATATCCCATAATTCTTTGTGTGGTTTAGAATGATCAAATAAAGAATAACTAGTGTGAACATTTTCATTGTCATTTCTAAGCCTAAATATAATTTAAAGCATCATTATCAAGTATTTAGCAGCATCACTATCTTAAGAAAGTATTTTAAAACAAACTCAGGCTGGGCACAGTGGCTCATGCCTATAATCCTAGCACTCTGGGAGGCCAAGATGGGAGGAACACTTTACTCAGGAGTTGGAGACCAGCCTCAGAAAGAAGAGACCTAGCCTCTCTACTAAAAATAGAAAAATTAACCAGGCAGGTGATGCACACCCATAGTCCCAACTACTGGAAAGGCTGACGCATCACTTGAGCCCAGGAGGTTGAAGTTGCAGTGAGCTATGATGACACCACTGTACTCCAGACAAAGTGACAGAGTGAGACTGTCAAAGTGAGACAAAAAAAAAAAAAAAAAGAAAGAAAGAAAGAAAGAAAAGTTAAACTCAGATTTTTAATCTGTAGTTCCAGTCATGCAAACTAGATATTTATAAACAATTATACATCATCATAGCTAAAGTTTTAGAGAATCATATATAAAATTCAAATATAGCATCTAACATCCTTTGCCATCAGGAATCTCCTAAGTCAGTAAAAAATTGCCAGTTAGGACAAGAGATTCACAAGAGACATTTGTGTTTTACTGTTACTCTGTTTTAATGACTTGATACTAGGGACTCCACCAGAGTGACATAAAGACCAATGACTTTGGTAACTTTCATACCTAATGTTTCAGATACTAAAGATCCTACAATGAAGAGGTCATTTTGTTAAGCATACAAATTAAAGGAGATAGTTTTCTGCAGGAAAAAGTCAAACTTTTGAAATGCCCTGAATGCATAAAGATGTGCTACCCAAAGCTAAGTGGTGTAATTATTCCTACATTTTTTCCTTATTATAATTCAATCCCTTTTTAACTACATGCATCAACCAGCACACAAATCTCTTCCATTAGTATTTCACTCCAGAAAAAAAGAATAGACTTGAGGGGAAAATATGATTCATCATTTCCCCTCTTAAAAAGTGAGCTATTGATAAACTTTAGCTTGTTTTTATTGAATGGAATTATATACGTACTGACATCTAGTTTTAGTACACTGATTTTTTCATTGATTACTTGAGATATTTATGGTAGATATGTTTTAAGGACATGTATAAGTAAACACATCCTATTTTTTTATTCCATGTTGCATTATAGTCACTGGGCTTATGGAAGATCTGAGGCCCAGCTGCAAATATAATATATTATTGTTCACCTCCATGTCTTTTTAACTCATTATCCATTTAAGGCCCACCATGTTCAATTCAATGAGTATCTGATGAAGAACATGTCCTTATTCATTTTTATGAATAAGTTAGAAAGATCAGGACATTGTTTTTCCAAGAATAATATCAGAATGATTTCCCTACTTCTCCGTCTTCATATTAGCCCGTAGAGACTTATTTTGTTCACTATCTCTTCCTGGAATTTCCCTCAGCATAGACTATCTACCTAAATCAGAGTTTTTAAATATTTATAATGATAAGTGTTTCTAAGTAGGATTAATGTACCAGCACTCTAAGTCAATTCCCTAGCTCTCTAAGGAAACGCCTTCTCACACATTGCACTTAGCTTTTATAGACTATAAAAGTATCTATAGTTAACCATACTTGGCTCCTCAACTTCTTGCTGTTATCTATTTTTTTTCTTCTTTATATTTCTTAATGAGGATATGAGCTTTTTTCAATGTTGTTGCTGAAATGCACTCTTCTTTACTGTTTGATTGAATTGCTGGAAGAGATTCTGAGGAGCACTCAGTTGAGGTAACCCCTGTGCTGGGAAAAACAGATCTTCTGTACAATGAGCTCATCATGTTTCAATCTTTGAGTAATTTTTTGCATTCTGCATACTCTTTCCAAAATGTACAAAGGCATTGTCTATTCAGTGTGACATGTGGAAGAGCTATC